GTGTGTGTTTGGTCACAATTGGGTATTTCCATAAACATCTCAAATCAGTCAACACTGCATAGTTTACTGCTACAGAAGAAAAACGGCTTTCTCTTCTAAGCTGTGTTGACAGTCAAAATTATATTTATATATTCTTAACTTTTTTTTAAGTTGCTGATAAAAAAAAACATCAAACCAAAAGTTAAGCCTGAGTTACATCACCACTTCAGAATGTCCCCTAAAAAGTCACCAGGGAGTCATTCAGTGAGTTGGACACTTCCGTGTTTCCTTCATCCCAGAAGAGATCCATAATTTATAGGTGTTTGTCCAGGATGTCACTGCTCCAGCAAGCTAGCATAAAATATTTACCACAGATCATAAGTGCTAGACATTGACGTTTGCTTCCCCGCTRAGAAAGGGTGTTTTGAGTCTCAGCATGTGCCTCGAATCCCAAATGATCCCGGACACTGGGGGTCACTTTTCACATGTTTGAAAATCAATCAGTCTGAAAATAGATCCTGAGCTGTAAAAGGTGGCGACGAAAGCAGCCGCCGGATTGTTGTTTGTGGGACAGTTTTCCTGCGCGCCGCTTTGGAGCTTCGCTGAGCTTCACTTGTGTTTGTGAGCGTAATATTTCTGTTTCTCCGTGTTATTAGTTTCTCACCTGCTGTGTTGATTCTTTGATCAGACGGAGCTGGTGTTTCAGCAGAGAATGAGGTATAAACAGAACTAATAATGAAACTAAAGTATAATTTGTGTTACACTTGCAAACAACAAACATCAAAAAATGACTGTTTTTTTATTAAATAAGCAAGAAAAGCAGTCCAGTTGGTGATAAAAACATTTTTGTTGTCGATTGCCAAGCTCATCTTTTTTTTTTTTTTTTACAAATTTAGGAAATTRACAGCAGGCATTTCCTTAAAGTGATTTGTTTTATTTTTACTTGAGAACTAAACTATTTGGTGTAAATGCCAGTAAAAGTGTTTCTATCATGGCAAACAACCAAGCCTTGCTTCGCAAACCACATGCMTTACTGTTTAGATCAGGACGTGAATGGATTTGTGACAATGAAAGGATCCAGTTGAATGAGGCCCAGCTAATAAAACATATTGACTGTAAACCCGATCAGACCCAAGACAAAACTCAAAGATTCTTGAAATTCACTTTCGAGAAAGAAGAAACGTTTTGTTTGAGCCTATAGGACAACCTGCTGAAACCAAGAGTTTATCCGTTCAGACTTGGTTTCTGCAGCTGCTACAGAGGGCGGTTAGCTGCCAAAATGCAGGTCAGAGGAAGCAGCGAGGTACAAATGGTCAATTAATTGTTGGGGTTTATTATGCAAGGACGTCATCTCTGTGAAAAGAGAGGATGTCAATACTTCTGCTTTGCTCGTTCAGCACTTACACCATGTTTACACGTTGTAAATCAATCGACTTAGCGCTGCTTGAACAGTGTAATTAAAATGGTAAAATGTTTGATGTTCTTTTCAGCGGTTGGCTCAAGTGTGGACCCGGATAAACTTCAAACATATTTACCTCCTGTTACACAGTACAACCTG